AATATGATATTCATTCTAATGATCAAACATATATCTATAATCCCATACTGTAAACATGTTATAAACTAAATGCGAAAGCGTACCTGAATTTACCATAATGATGATGTTCTTTGTAGAGCACTTTTGATTTGATCTTAAGGTCTTCCACCTGAAGAGCACCTATATTTCCCTCTTGATTTTCTTTCTTGATGGGGATAGAAAGAAAGGAACGGGACTTTAACTACGTTCTGTCTACGTGCTCTCAGAAGGGGACCATGACCCTTTAAATAACCAAAATTAGGTTAATTACTTAAGTTTTAGTATTTTTAATTTGGCCCCTCATCAAATTAGAAATTACTCTATGGTCTCTACACAATCATATTTTCATGACATATGCCTTTAGCAAAAACTTTAATTTATTCAGATCACTTTATTATTTGGCTTAATAAATAATGACCCTAACACATTCAAATATGTATCATATATATACATGACCCAAAATTTGCCAACAATCTCCCACTGGTCACAAATATATATATGTCTTTACAACCTTACAAATGTGTTAGACTTTATGAGCTCAAAATTGTCATTATATTCCTTTAGCATATTCCAAAAGTCCTGTCCATTAATCATATCAGGATATAGAACCAAACCAGCTTTTCATTGCATCATCGCAACTAAAACCAACAAGATTACTCATCCTGACATAACCAAATGACATGGATTCATCATGAAATGTGTAGCATGAAAAATTACGTGAAGGTGATCTGTACACGTCTATTTTCAACTGGTCCAAACTTTAACTTATCGAGATCGATATAGTAACCTTAATGTACAAAGTGTAATGAATGAACAAAAAACCGCATATCTATATATAACCAAATATGTCAAAAAACAATGTATACATATATTAAATTAAACATAGAACATAAAATATATGAAAATGACTAACTCCCACTAAACCACAAATTCCTCAAACCGTAAAACACCCATGTGAGCAACATGCTCATGAAAGACCTTGGGCGGAAGTCCTTTAGTTAGAGGATCTGCTATCATGGAGTTTGTCCCTAAATGTTCTATGGAAATCTGTCCACTCGTACTCTTTCCTTAACAACTAGGAACTTAATGTCGATGTGTTTTGACTTAGTCGAACTTCGTTGTTGTTGGAATACAATACGGCTGATTTGTTGTTACAATATAACTTAAGTGGTCTTTCAATGCCTTTCACAATTTGCAGCCCTGTGACAAAATTTCTCAACCATATTCCGTGATTCGATGCCTCATAGCATGCTACAAATTCTGCTGCCATAGTGGATGAAGCTGTAAGGGTTTGCTTGACACTGCGCCAAGAAACCGCACCACCTGCTAACATGAAAATGTAACCTGAAGTGGATTTCAAACTATCTTGACATCCTGCAAAGTTCGAATCAGAAAACCCAGCGATCTCCAACTGGTCTGACCTCCTGTATGTGAGCATGTAATCTTTTGTTCTCTTTAAATATCTCATGACCCTTTTTGCTGCTTTCCAATGGTCCATTCCTGAATTGCTTAAATATCTGCCTAGAACCCCAACTATGTATGCTATGTCTGGACGCGTACATACTTGGGCATACATCAAACTCCCTACAGCTGATGCATAGGGAATCTTTTGCATTTCCTCAATTTCCAAATTTCCCTTTGGGCACTGATTGAGACTAAACTTGTCTCCCTTAGCAACTGGAGTATCCCCGGATTTACATTCATGCATGCCAAACCTTTTAAGAATTTTTTCGATATAGTTCCTTTGTGATAATCCTAAAATACCCCGACATCGATCTCGGTGTATCTGAATTCCTAATACAAAAGACGCATCACCAAGATCTTTCATTTCAAAATTCTTTGATAAAAATTTCTTGGTTTCGTGCAATATGCCTATATCATTAGTGGCAAGTAGAATGTCATCAACATACAAGATCAGGAAAATATACTTACTCCCCTTAAACTTGTGATATACACAATCATCAACAATATTCATCTCGAAGCCAAATGAGAGAATTACTTGATGAAATTTATAGTACCATTGACGAGATGCTTGTTTTAGTCCATAAATGGATTTTGTCAGTTTGCAAACCATACTCTTTGAATCTCCCTGCACAAAATTTTCTGGTTGCACCATATAAATCGTCTCATCAATGTTGCCATTAAGAAACGCCGTCTTGACATCCATTTGATGAAGCTCCAAATCATAATGTGCTACAAGAGCCATGATTGTCCTAAAAGAGTCTTTCGATGAAACTGGAGAGAAAGTCTCTTTAAAGTCAATCCCTTCCTTTTGGGTATAGCCCTTAGCTACCAGACGAGCCTTATACCTTTCCACATTACCTTTAGAATCCCGTTTGGTCTTAAATATCCACTTGCAACCAATGGGTCTCATACCTTCTGGTAATGGGACAAGTTCCCAAACCTTGTTGTCTTGCATGGACTTATACTCCTCCTTCATTGCTTCAATCCACTTTTCAGAGTTAGAACCTTGCATGGCTTGACGGAAGTTAACTGGGTCATCTTCCATCATACCATTGTTTTCCTCATGTTCCTGAAGAAATACCATGTAATCATCCGAAATAACACTTCTCCTTTCTCTAGTGGATCTCCGCAAAGTTATTGGCTCATGATGCACAGGTTCTTGAGGATCTTGAGTTTGTTCTTCATGAACAACCAAATCAACTTGAGTAAGGGGTTCATTAACAATGCCTTGTGGAGGTTCCAAACTTACTTTATCAAAAGTAACTGTTTGAATCGGTTCTGGAATTGTTACCGATTCTTCCTCCAAGACAAAGTTCCTGATTTTATTCTTCCCCCCAAACTCAATATCCTCAAAGAATGTAGCAGTTCCCGTCTCAAAAATTGTCTTTAATGTGGGATCATAAAATTTATATTCCCTGGATATTTCAGCATAACCAATAAAATAACTACTTATTGTTCGGGAGTCCAATTTCTTTTCATTTGGCTTATAAGGCCTTGCCTCAGCTGGACAACCCCACACATCGAAATGCTTCAAACTAGGTTGTCGCCCAGTCCAAAGCTCATAAGGTGTTTTGGTCGCTACTTTAGTTGGTACTCTATTCAGAATATAAGCTGCCGTCTTTAGTGCCTCTCCCCAGAGTGACTTCGGTAAGGTGGAATGACAAATCATACTCCTGACCATATCTTTAAGAGTCCGGTTTCATCTTTCAGCTACACCATTCATGCTAGGTGATCCCGACATGGTATACTGTGGGACAATTCCACACTCCTCTAAGTACCTGGCAAAAGGTCCTGGACGCTGTTCACCTGACCCGTCAAATCTGCCATAGTACTCACCACCACGATCAGATCTGACAGACTTAATTCGTTTATTGAGTTGATTTTCAACTTCAGCTTTAAATGTTTTGAACACTTCTAGAGATTGTGACTTTTCATGTATAAGGAATAAGTATGCATATCGTGAGTAATCGTCTATGAATGATATAAAGTATTGTTGACCATTCCACGAAGGTGTAGGAAATGGCCCACAAATGTCTGTATGTATCAACTCTAGGACGTCTGTAGCTCTATATGCACCTAATCTCTTCGCTTTGGTCTGTTTGCCCTTAATGCATTCAACACAAACATCAAAGTTTGTGAAGTCAATGGACTCTAAGATTCCATTTAACACAAATCGTTCAACTCTATTTTTAGAGATGTGACCTAAGCGCCTGTGCCATAATGCTCCTGAGTGAGTATCATCAATTTTACGTTTAGTACCCCGTGATTCTGTATTAAGGGTTTCATTATAGGTGGTCACAGTATCAAGTAAATACAGATTATCATAAGGTAAAAGTGAACCAGTTCCAATAATATCTGAATTAAAAGACAGACTGAACTTATTGTTTCCAAATGAACACAAATAACCTAATTTGTCCAGATAAGAAACTGAAACCAAATTCCGTCTAAATGACGGCACAACAAAAGTGTCTTTCAAATCCAAATAAAAACCAGTACTCAATAACAATTTAAAATGCCCTATGGCTTCCACCTCTACCGATTTGCCATCTCCAACATATATCCATCTTTCAGAATCAGTTGGCTTCCGGTAGCTTAGGCAACCCTTTATAGAAACAACTGATGTTAGTAGTTGCACCTGAGTCTAACCACCAAGTGTTACTAGGTACTGACGCTAAATTGACTTGAGAACAGACCAAAATAGGAAATATACTTTTGAGGATCGGAACATAATTTAAATTGGCAGATACAGAAACAATTGTAGCTAAATTAAAAAACAAGAGAAATAAATTAATTATGCTCACATTATAAAAATAAATAATTATAAATAAAATATATATTCAAATAATGGTTTAACCCATCTCAAGATACCCAATGCACCATCAATATCAAGTCTTTGGACGAGTAATATTAATTGCTAGAGGTATCTTGTTGTAATAATCAAACATTGACAATAAAGCACGTCCAACAACAAACCAGTCTTTGGATTGATTTATCATCGACAAAGCAAATCCTTATAATTATCACATGTTTATCATTACAGGTGTGTATGTAATTCGGCCAAATATTAATCTTCCTTTGGGCCGACTAATACTCGCATGAATATACACAAACACAAACATTCAATAATTTTTTTTATGAACTACCCAATTCAAGAGAGGTTACTTTGGTAACTTCTTGACTCAATTTGTTCACAAAAATATTAAACTACCAAACAAATTAATATTTTATTTATATAATAGAACCAAATATTTATAATTTTAAAGATGGATAATTTATAAGAGTCTAATTGAGGCACTGTAATTTTGTTTAAACATATGCTCTTTATTTATTATTTTTAATTATGACCATCATTGCGCCGGTGGGCCCACTTCCAAAATAGATATGTTTTATGCTTGCTTTATCCTGAAGTACACTTAAGTAACCAACGCAAATAGATACAACGTAGATACAACGTGGGAACCTCCGTGTGGCCTTGCTCCCTCGTCCTCGTCAAATTCGCGGAGCGATGGGCCCCACCAATGGACAACAACCCCTACGCCGACGTCCTGGACTTCGGAGGCAAACGGGCCGTGGAACTGGGTACGGGCTGCGGCGTGGCGGGCATGGGCCTGTTCCTATTGGGCTTAACGGACTTGGTCCTCACTGATATCGCGCCCGTGATGCCGGCCCTGAAGCGCAACCTGAAGGTGAATAAGCGCATCCTCCGCAAGACCCTTTCTACATCAGATGGGGGTAAATGAGTCCACTTCTGAACTCCGGCAAACCCTCTCTTCGCCAAATCCCACGAACCGCACTTCGCCTACCCGTTTGCGCCCAAAGGCGTCATAGGAATCGCGGCTGCCCATGGACTACCTCAGTCATGCCTTACACGTGACCAGGCCACCGCCTCACGCGCCGTTCGGTCACGTGGTGGTTATGAAGCGAAGAGACAACAGGATATTTAACCCCAAATTTTAATTTAGGGTTTACGAAGATTTGAGATTAGGGTTCTGAATTCTTAAATTTAATTTATGAAATACAAACATGAATCATGTATGGGTCGCTCTGATACCAATTGTTAGGTTAAACTGTAATTGAATATGATATTCATTCTAATGATCAAACATATATCTATAATCCCATACTGTAAACATGTTATAAACTAAATGCGAAAGCGTACCTGAATTTACCATAATGACGATGTTCTTTGTAGAGCACTTTTGATTTGATCTTAAGGTCTTCCACCTGAAGAGCACCTGTATTTCCCTCTTGATTTTCTTTCTTGATGGGGATAGAAAGAAAGGAACGGGACTTTAACTACGTTCTGTCTACGTGCTCTCAGAAGGGGACCATGACCCTTTAAATAACCAAAATTAGGTTAATTACTTAAGTTTTAGTATTTTCAATTTGGCCCCTCATCAAATTAGAAATTACTCTATGGTCTCTACACAATCATATTTTCATGACATATGCCTTTAGCCAAAACTTTAATTTATTCAGATCACTTTATTATTTGGCTTAATAAATAATGACCCTAACACATTCAAATATGTATCATATATATACATGACCCAAAATTTGCCAACATGTTCTTGAGCGTTTGAGAGACTTTTGACGCTGTGTAGAGTGAAGGGCTGCCAAAACGCACCCAATTTATTGAGAAATTAAATAGAAAGCTTGCTTCGAAGGTTTCTACTCTCTCCCTCACCTTTTTACTGCTTTATTTAAATTGCACAATAGATAGGGCCATGTAGTCATAATCTTTAAATTCTGCGAATAAAAAAATAAAAGCGTAATTTTCACCGGTTTAAATATTTTTTAAATAGTTGGCCTGTCATAGGGAACCCGAAAGGGGCGTCGTAAAGGAACTAACACTTCCTTTACACGTAACTAACTCCCTTACCCGACTCTGGTTCTAACGACCAAAGTTGGTTTTTCGAAAACCAACGTTTTTTTTTCCTTTTCCGATGTTTCCGGTAAAAACATCGGTGGTGACTCCACAGAACCCTTTCAAAACTAGCTCTTGGATTAGCCCGGTTATTGGACAATCCAAGAGCGCCTTTTCAAAAACCTCGCCCCTAGGTTCAGCCCGGTTATCGGACAACCTAAAGGCGTTGTAACCACCAACAAAAAAATGCAAAAAACAAGAGGTCGAAACCATCGCGTCGCTCCGACCGCCTCTTTTTGACGGCGGCGACAGATGGCGACTCCACTGGGGAAGCCTCGAGAGTTGATCCCATTTAGTGATGGGCCGACTTAAAAAATAAATAAACCAAGAAAATAACGCTTTTGCCCTTACCTTGTATTATAACATGTTTTACGGTTTGGCTTTAAATAACTGTTGCTTGTTTATACTTACGCATTTTGTTTGAAATACAAACTGTACACAAACCCTTGCACACTACAGTTCCCTCTATACCCGGGGGCAAGTGAGAAAACCATAGGGAGTGGGTGGCAGGTACGGTTCGCTGTAGTGATGGCCTTGTGCCCACCGGTGTGATCGGAAACCACCACTCAAGGTGATAACCTTCCTCTTTTGGCAACAAGAATGACTATGACCTTAGTGCTAAGCATGGTCGGAAGGCTGGAGAGTGGGGACCCTATAATGGGGGCACCTTGGGGGCCTTAGCCTGGTGAGAACAGTTAGAACCTACCCTCGCCAATACACTTTTCTGCAGGAAAACCCTACCTCGTGATAAAAACGAATTCTCGCCTGTTCGTGGATGATCGAATTGTGTGTGCATATGTTTGCTGCATTTGTCTGTTGCATAGCATAAACAAACAACAGAACAAAAATCACAAAAATATTTTTTCCAAATAAACACCCTTATCTCGGACAGTCTGCCTTTTAGCTAGCCTGGTTTCAGGTTTTTTGTAAGCTAAGTAGCCAGCAGTTCCGACAGAAGAGATAAGGGACGCTAAATATTTTTTTCGCATAAAGCTACATTTTATCTCAGACAGTCTGCCTTTTAGCTAGCCTGGTTTCAGGTTCTTTGCAAGCTAAGTAGCCACGCAGTTCCGACAGAAGAGATAAAAGGCTATAAAATAAAAAGCAATAAAAATAAAAAATAAAAAATCCATTTCCAAAATCATAAATGGGACCTGGTCCGAAAATATTACGCCCATAAAGCATTCATATAGATAGTTTATTCTTCAAAAAAAATACGCAATTACCATACATCATGTAGGAAAACATGATAAATAGGAAAATAAACACTCACATTCATTCAAATAAGCGTCATTTTCATAAAACATGCATTTTGGTTTTAGAAAATGGAGGGGACTAGTAGACAGCTAAAGAAGGTGGATATTCCCCGTTACCATACTGAGAAGTTGGAACGGCTTAGCGCGACAATGCCACCAGAGGTCCGCGCCGATTTTGAAAAATCCTATGGACGGATTTTAGACCTACTGAAGATCTGTGTCGATCAGGTGTTCCTCAGGGTATTAATCCATTTCTGGAACTCCAATCTACGATGCTTCGAATTTCCGCAGTTCGACCTGGTGCCCACCTTAGAGGAGTATGAGACTATGTTGAGATGGCCCAAATCAGTCGGGGTCCATATCCGCCACGAGGCATACACTCCTGCAGCACCAGTCGCTGCCCTCATTCAACTACCTTTCCGGCAGAGTACCCTGATAGGAAAAGGGAACACCCAGGGTTGGAAAGTCTCAATGTTGGAAGACCACCTGTCCTACCTGGTTGAAAGGGCAGAGTGGGTCGCCTTCAACAAAACCCTGGCCTTAATCATTTTTGGAACGATCTTGTTCCCCTTCCACCTCGACACAGTAGATCAAGCCGTCATGGACGCCTTCTTCGCCTGGGACGTAAACTCGAAGAGTCCCCTGCCTGCAATCCTTGCCGACACCTTGCTCTCGGTGGAATTCTGCCACCAAAAGCAAGGAAAAACACTTTGTTGTTGCTCTTCATTACTGTTTGTGTGGAGCGCTACGCACCTGTACGCCTCTAGACACATGGGGATGTTCCCCGACCCTTTAAAGAGCTTCTCCAAAATCCCTCTCCAACGTCGCTTAACCTTAGAATGGAGGGACGAGTTGGAGCGAAAGGACGCCAACAGTTTGTCCTGGGTCTGCCCTTAGTTCCGACCTGGCGCAGTTCTTATCAGATGTGGAGACTATCCGAATGTACCCTTGATAGGACTCAGGGGTTGCATAGCCTATTCACCTAGAATAACTATGAGACAACTCATGAGGACCCAAACTACCATTTCTCGGGGGGAACTCGGAGGATTGTGTTTCTTTGGAGACCCATGCACAATCGCCAACTCACTTGCTGTGAGAAAAGCATGGGAGAGACCAGTCTACATGGGAGATAGAGAGCTAGGAAAAGCTCGGGTGACGGTCACCAGTGACTACGAGGCGTGGAGAAAGAGAAGAGGGATGACTCAACCATCCACCACACCCATTATGAGCGCCAATAATGAAGAGCTGCAGGCTCAAATTGATGCCTTGACCCAGAGGATAGAAATCATGGGAGCCCAGATGAGGGCCCTTGAGGAAAGAGAGCAAGAATCTATCCTCACAATAGATGGTCTGCAAAGGCAAGGCAAGAAAAAGGATCATGAAATAGAGCGCCTCAAGGATCAGTGTGCTGACTCCAACGAACAAGCTATCCGAGCATCCAAAACTGCCAGAACCAGTTCGGATAGCCAACTCCAAGAAATAACCGCCAAATCAGCACGCCTTGAGGTCGAATCAGCAAAACAGGCTCAAACGATCAAGGAGTTGTCGCAAGAGCTCACCAAGACTCGGTTAGATATACGCCAAGAGCGAGAGGCCAATCGGAGACTCAACAGAAGTCTCGCTGAGCTACGCTGCAAAGAAAAAGACGGGCTAGCTCAGTACAGCCAGGTGCTACAAGAGAAAGACCAAGTCGTCGCGAAGCTCGATGAACTACAAGCCTTGGTCGTTCATCAAGAGGCGAAGATCAAAGAGGCTCAGAAGTATAGTGAAGATATGAGCCAGGAGGTCCGAAAACAAAGCGAAGCACTTGCTCGTCACGTCTGGGAAGCCGAAAGAGAACTACAGAGAGATCAAGACCCGCCTGTGGGTTTCTTTAAGGTTTTCCGTTTTTGCCAAAAGTTGCTTCGTAGTATGGAATAGGGGAATGTACACCTTCTATTGAATGAATGAAATCTTCTTCTTTATTCAACGACTATCTACTTGCATGCATAAACATTCATTTGCATATTTAATTTCCCCTCCTTCACGCTTAATAAATAAGATAATAAAAAAGGAAGGATTAACTGACACGTCTTCCAAATCAGAAGAATGGAGAGAAAGCCACTCCTAATAAAGCTTACCCCAACGGTCGACTCGCTGCAAGAGGAAAATAAGCCTCGACCGTTGGTCCTCAAGAATAAAGAAGAGGGGGCAAGGACACCAGTGCGATTATTTATGCCATGTCCTTTCCCCTACGAAACAAATAAAGTTGTACCGTGGAGATATGAAGAATCTTCACCAGTAAAAGAAGAAATAACAAATATAGCCGGCATTGGGGGCATGACTAGAAGTGGAAGAGTCTACTCCCCCAAGGACACACAGGAAGATGTCCTCAAAAATAAAGGAAAAAATAAAAAAGACCGAAGAAGAAAAAGAAAATAAAGAATCCAAGGAGGAGACAGAGGAATTACTCCAGTTTATAAGGCAAAGCGAGTATTCCATCATAGGCCAGCTCAATCGCACGCCTGCAAAGATAACGTTATTATCTTTAATATTGAGCTCGGAACCGCATAGAAAC